GCTGATAACTGCACACTGCCTCGTGTCATCTCGGCTGATCTAAAACCGCTCTCCACACGTTTGCAAGTTCTACCCCCTCTATTCTATTCACGCTGGGATGCTTGGCGATTTCAACCGCCTGGGCCACCAGTCGCTGTGGTGTGAATCGTAAACCCCGTCTCAGGATGTCAACAGTTTCTAAATCTATCCTATTCCTAGTGTCTATTGCATGCCCTGCTATTGCCGAATCTTTGACTATCGCTTGGTTTTCATGGGTGAACGAAACTGCGGCAGCTACAACCACTGTACGACGAGTACGCAGTTATTACAGCTGACAATAATGATGATGACGATGATGATGATGTTTCATTTATGTTTCTCGGTGGTCTGTTAATGGAACGCTTATGCTCACCGATTCTGGTGTGCGATCCCCTGGCTGTTTGAACTATATAAACCTTTGTACAGTCGTTAAATTTTATTTTGTGTTGGGACTGTTTCCAAAGTTACTACAGCGAACAACTACCAAAAAACGGAAAGTTTGTAAGTCTTACACCTGCTTTTAGGTTTGGCGCGACAAGGCTTAGTTTCGTTGACTACCAGCAGGTTGTTTGCACTCACAAACGCTCAGGTTTCCTTTTTTATGAAGGATCCAGTGACCTGAGGGTCTCCTGTTTGAGCTGGAAATGCGAATTAATATGTTTATTGGTCCGCTAGAACCTTGTAACCAAGACAACACGCAAGTTTCACCCAATTCTTACCCGTATTGATGAGTCTCCGCTGGCTGTCGCCAGAATGTTCTCCATAGGGTTGAAGTCTGAACTAGAAATCCAATCCTTGTGAGCTTTCGTTGTGAGCAACAGAGTTAGCTCTGGAAGGCGCCATATTTTCCATTGTTTATCGTCACTCGTCGAGCAAATTAGCGATTTGCTTGGATTAATTGACAGGCTGAAAACCAATGAGAAATGGACAGTCATTTTTTACTGATATTTCGGGAGCCGCGAAGCGAACACAAAATTCACCTGTAAGGCTGACGGTTAAATATGTCAAGCCGCCGACAAACCGTCGAACAATTTTTACAGTTAAATAAAAAGCCAACTACCAAGAAATAAAGCAAAAATGAGGGAAAAACAACCGTAAAAACCCACCTACTTCTGGTTCACCTCCACTCCTCAGTTCGGATCAGAAAGTTTTGTGCTAACTGCATGCAAATGTGTCAAAATATTTAAGAAAGATGATGATATGATCGACGAAAAACGGGATAACGTATGTATTGAACGGAAATAGCTGTTCTCAGATCTCCCTCTGTAGGAATCAGTTGATTAATCTTGCGTCCGGTTTTGTGAATATTATGTTCCTAATCCCTGCTGAAATGCAGGGATGTGTTTTCACATCAAGGTCCGTGGATCTGTCAACGAGTCGGCAATTTCGTACATCACTGGCCATCTTTGACCAGCAGAACTTAAAAATACGCACGGGATGCCGTAAAAAATGGTGCAGCTTTAGCACCCTTTCGGTGCCTAGCTGCAATGCCACACGAATGAGGCAAGAGGGCTGGGATACTGTCAGGTCGCCCAAGCCTGGACAGGGGAAGTCGAGAGGCAGAGGTCGGGATGCCGCGCGTCTGTTTCTCCCCCCCTTTTAAGTAGTTCGATTTTCTGGTTCTTATCTGATATTCAGCTGTCAGCCATGGCTCCAGGTGGATATTTCCATGTGTCAACAATCATAGAGCATCAATAAAAATGTTGAACTAGCTTGGATGAACTGAGGATCTCGAAACTTCTTGGACGCCCAGCAGAGAGCATGTAGACACAGTTCTGGAATATTTGTCAAATAAACTCGTCTTGGTCCAGCAGAACACCTCACATTTTCCTCGTTCGTTTTTGAAGTTACACTTCCCGGAGATTTGGCCTTGAACAGAGACAGCCTAGACAATGAAGTCACGTGTATCAGGAATGAACGAAGAGAAGGCGCCTAAATGATCCGGTTATACTTGGTCGACCCCGTGTCCGTTGCTATTGACCTTTACTTAGAACTGGCCCGCACTTCTTGTAACACCTTCTTGTTCTTAGTGGAATCCGAAAGATTTTCAGCTTAACGTCTGCTGTCAGTGCTGAATGGAGACATACACCTTCGTGTTGTACCTAATTCAGTCCATTCAGATGAGTCGCCTTAAATGAGTAATCGCTACCTAGCACACACCAGAGAATGCAAGATAAAACACCAGACGATATCCCCTTTGTATGCTGTGTGCAATCTGACGTAAAGATCAGAGCATAAACCTGTCAGTCGTCTTTGTAAAGCACGTAGATAGCGGTTGTATTTCTGAAAAGATCAATAGTACAATAAAATGGCGAGTAGACCAAAAATTTTGTCATCATTGCAGCAACGATCGTTCCCATCGTTTTGACGATCTGAATCAATGTTAAACAGCTGGAACAGTGTCGGTCAAATTATCCTAGAGACCATAACGCGACATTGGGGCTCAAGAAGACAGACTTTAATTAATTAATTAATTCACCTCCTGGGAGAAGGATTTCGGTCGGACTTGTGCTGTTCGCGATAAGAAGCAATCACAGCTTCGGCAGTCCGAAAAAATGCCGAAAGTAACGAGAGGAATAAGGAGATATTTTCAGACTTAGATGATTAGTCTACTGTGTTAAGTCGCTACTTTGTTTCAACGATAGCTGCATAACCTGGAATAAAGCTGGAAATTTTTAAGGATTCACAGGTAAGACCGATAATGACTATCTAAAGGTGTACAAGATTCACATAAATCCCATCCCGGTTTGCATGGAAACTTAGACCAATATCTAGCAGGCCGAACGACAAAAGGACAGAGTATTTTGAGTTTAGGCACAAGGGATAATTTACACCGTAGAACCCTAGAATGAGAACAAAGAGGAACCCAGTGATTCTGGCAATGCTTACCTACTGATAGCCTTCTCATGGCCTTTCACTGTGATGTTCAGTTTGCGGCTCGACGGACATACGCCATAAGCGGTGGATTGGGAGACCACTCGCAGCAGTGGGTTAACCCCTTTGTCCCTCGGAATTTCTGATACGCCACTCTTAAACGGAAGCCAAAACAATGCAGAATAACGGTAATAAACGCCAAATGAACGGCGATCAATTTGCCCTCTGAAAAAATCCATGAAGGCAAACATTCACTGCGTTTCAGGTCACCTGAGCAACATTATTGATCAACCCACTATTTGGTCAAATTTAGCGGTGAGTGGACGAAAAATTCAAGATAAAACCTACTTGATAATGCAGTAAAATACACTGAAACTGAAAGAAGTAATTGATGTACCCTTGACAACCGATAGCACACCGCACAGAGAGAATGCTTGAATGTCCAGTGGTTACATATATTATCAAATAGGAACGATTCAAGAAACGATCTTCTGTTATCTTCGATCCCGTTCGAATTAGCTTGAGGACCGGTATTATGGACAACTACACACTGACAGATTTTCTTAGAGATGTTGAAAACGTACTGAACATACTTATCTGCGAATCAGTTTGATTTTCACTGTAGGCTCAACTGAATCTCTCATTTACGATATTCTTCAACTGAATGCGTTGCATAAGGGCCGTCCCATGTTTCAGTTGGCGCGATATTCGAGGTATCGCGATACATGTATAGACGTAATACACTACTCATATGCCTGCTGACAACTAGTCGACAGCCTACGACCGATTTCGCTCTTCTTGGTGCAAATGAGAGTATTTGTCGAAGCCTGTGCAACTTGGGTTCAAGTAGAACATGAGGTTGACGGAAACCCAGGGACTGCGTGTACCTGATGAAACCCAAAAAAGTCGAAACCGGTAGTAGACTGTCGACGAATTTTTAGCGACCTAATGAGCAGTGCATTACGAATATACATGTATCGCGATATATCGAATATCTTAGCGACTGAAAGATGAGGCGGCCTGGTTCAGCACATTCACTTGCCTGGAAACATCACAAACGAGGGATTCGGCTGGTTCCCAGGTGAGTCTGTCGAAGAATCCAATTTATTTGCTAATGTATGTATTTCGCTAATTTCGTGCAATTTGGTTTCAGGAAGAACATACGCTCGACGGAAACCCGGAGATTCCGCCTACCTGATGAGCCTCAATAAGGGCGAAACTGGTCGTAGGTTGCCGACGAATTTTCAGCAATCTTACGAGTAGCGCATTACGAAATGTCAGTCATTTGAAGGTCATTGTGAAGATAGTCAGACTGCATATGAATAAAAGTCACGTGTGTGACTAGACGAACGGATGTTTATTATCCTGCCGGTTGACAGCTAAGGTCTAAGGAACTGAATCGCGAAGGTTGCAAAGATAACATCGTATGGCGAAATAACTAAGATAAATTCAGCGACCACTGTCTAGTTTGCACTGATCGTTTCGGACTGACTAGCACCCAAAGTACACATACTAACCTGGAGATTTAAAAACCGGCTATGAAGGTGCCCTGCCTTGGCTAGATGAATGCATCAGACAACCTTACCTGTGATGGACCCAGAAGTTGTCCTACATACCAGAGGGCAGCAAACCATGATTGGCCATTAAACGCCACAGGGGCATATTTAGGGATTGATTTGCAACCAGTTCGTCCGAAATGAACTACGCTGAATTCAGCTTTCCAGCCTCAATTTCATCGAAACATAGTTTAGAATAATCTTATACTCTCGAAGTGTTTTTCTCTGAACACCATCGTACTTTTGCCAGCTAACCCTGTGAATACGACCTTGACGTGTACAACGTGTGGTGTAGACCAATGTGTCATCCTCTGCACACAACATTAGTTTTTCACATCACTTGCTCTTACACCTCTACTTTACACCTGGTTATAGGATGTCTAGATGGTCGTTAAATGGGCAATTGCGAACACCTTAAGTTCGAGCTACTCCGCATAATGACTGGTCGGTACGACATGCCCTGTGTCGTGTGGGACAGACGAATGGGAACGTGTCTAAATGCTGTATCATTGGACTTCAAAAAGCCCGATTCCTAATTCCAAGCCATCATAGAAATATCGTATTTCTTGAAATGTATATCACCAAAACTAGCGTTCTCACGATGTTTTGCTTTTGGTAGTCAGTCAACTTGTGAATTACGAAGTACAGATTATTGATTTTTTGCTATTCACCCTGCTCTGAGAACTAATGTTAGTTAATCGAAATATACTTACTCGTGTATCAGAGAAGCTTGGTGTTCCTACGCACATTGGATACTGTCAGTATTAAGGGCACTGTAGGTTGCTAAAGCTTCCTGATTTGGCAGGCCATCTCACAACTACGGGATCGACATTACAGTAAGGGATGACTGTTACCCTTATTTATATGCAGTCTGATGGTTATAAAAATGAAATTAGCTTCCGACATTCTAAATCTTATTATTATCGTCATCATCTTCAGCTGTCAAAACTGCCAACATCTTGTACAGTGATCATAGGCGCCACAGTTCCATTCACACATTCGTTATCCAGTCCAGAAGCTGAATGGGTATGTTATGCCCAGACAGTTAATCGATTGGCAGATCACTCGGTCCACTCCTTTGAGTAGATCATTGGAGTATCTATGAAATTTTCACTTTGAGATCCCTCAAAGTCACACAAGACCGTTCCAAGATTATTCAGAGACTTTCCGGGAGCAATTCCAAAGTGTCCCGAATATCAATTCGGTCATCCAATGATGGGAAATCAAGGTACTCTGTGGACTGCAAACTTTTCACGTAAACGCAACACTGGGCACTGCTCTTCGGAACACCTGATGGCAATCATATACTAGGCCTCTCCCTTTGAAAATCTGATACATGAGAAATTTGGTCGCCATTTTCAAGTTAGCTTGTATTTGCCACTGGTTGGTTGCAACTGTCACTCGATTATGATAAGCTAACTGAAGTAAAACTGGTCAGCAACGAAAAACGCATTTTCTTTCCATATAATAATAAAGAGGACAAGTGCAAAATCCGTGTGTCTAGAGTCAGTCAAATGGTCCTCTTCAGGCTGGAGCCTAAAAGTTGGCCGACTAACCAACAACACAATCGAAGCGAAAACGGTGTACGTTTCACTGATCGGTTTTTTCCCAAGCCCTTGTACGCGGTCTGTAAATGCGTGGCGCAGAATCAATTTGGATGTTGTTGTTTACAGATTAAGCGGTCGCGAGCCAAAGATTCAGTTATGTGGTCCGAAGTCCGTACTAGCCTATGTGACGAAATCCAGCGTTTCACACCTTTGATTTCACTGGCTTTAAGAGAGTGCATCTTGTACGCAATTCTGTTCTGTATTTCACTCGGGGTTTTCGGTTCACGTGAAGTTTATCAATGCGGAGCTTTTTCACCTATTCTGGGAATCGCTAGAATTGTGAAGTCACCTCATCGATCAAGTATGGGCATATCTATCGTGTCGTGTCGTTATACACATGATAGTAAAGTTAATCTGAAGTGAATTACCCGGAAGGGATGAAACATCAGCATTCGAAGTCCGTCGCAGATTTTGTGACCCTCTAGGCACTGTAGAATGTTGTCTCATCTGACTATCATGTAACAACACAGACGGCGATTTTCATCCCCACTGGAAAGTCACTTGGGTGTCAGTATTGCTCGCTGTGAATGCCATCGCAACACTCGCTTTCGATCAGTAACTCTCATCACTCAGAAATCGATGATAAGACCAGTTCTTATTGGGCGGCAAAATCCAGCGCATAGTTAGTCACCCGTTGCTCTACTTGACTTATACGCAAACGGTGTACATTCACTTGCCATGCGCAAAACTATTAACATGCTCTATGCGTTTCCGCGTGGTGGAATCGATGAAGCACAGTAGCTCACGTAAACTTTTGTTTGCTTGATCACACCAGCCACATCACCGTTTTTAAAATTCCTTCAAACTGTTACCACCCCATCACTGTATTGCTCAAGCTTTGGTTTCATCGAGTAACCAGAATTACTCACCCAAAACCTTGCATAATTAGTCGCGTCTCAAACAATTTTTCCGTGAAAAAATATTTTAATTTGCTTTAGGTCTTTCATGTTACTGTTCACCATAATCCTCTTAAGAAAGACCACCTATGTGTTTTGATCGCTGACCAGAGCGACCCATCATCAAGTAGGTTGCAGACCATGTTCAAATAGAACATAAGGTTGACGGAAACTCGTGGACTGCCCCTATCTGATGAGTCCCAAGAAGGTCAAAACCGGTCATTGGCTCTGGAAGGGTTTTCAGCAACCTTGTGAGTAGTTTCCTCGGTTGCAGCCCAGTTTGTGGCTGACAGGAAATACTTTTACGAAGCTCCAATAACTCTTGTTTTGAGTGATCCCTCTTCCGCGACGTTCATACGTATTTACGCATACATATTTTATATTAGTGAATAGATATCTGTATGTTATATTTATAAGCGTACAAATTAAAGATGCCCCATTCGTCAGTGAACTAAACTCACCCCAGAAATGATCTTCGGGAGGTTTTCTGAAACCTTCTTATTCTCTTCATTCTGACCAGTCAATTTTGCTGACAATAATTTAGCCTTCGTCGATGGATTGACACCAGTCAACACTGATTTTTTACTTATCTTTTCAAACTCGGTGCCTTCTGCAGTGTTTATACCGAACTGTTGCAAAGACAGTAACGTGGATCGCAGTTCTTCCGCGTGCCCCACAGCTCGATCTCTTTCGATTTGATTCAAGCTCTTCTCTCTCATGGCAGCCTCGTACTTTTGTTGTAGTTGACGAAAAATAGGTTCATATTCGGCGTAGTGAGCGCGAAGTCTGAAATGAGACAACCAATCAGATTTTATAATGTTGAAGATTATAGCGCACGTAAAACATACGTATCGTTCTTAGCTATATCTCATGTACTGGGCAATTAACTAATCGATCTCTTATCTAAAGTGAACACCTTGAATAGAAGTCTGTCCGCTGTCAGTCACGTGAAAGTTTTCCAAAATGTATTGGAAAAACTCTGGTTCATACAGGAACGCAGTTTATGTCAAGGTAATGCCTGTACCATATTCTACATATGGAGGACTCCAACTAATTGCTAACTACGTCCTGAACACAATATTTATATGTCGTTTTACTCAAAGCGACCAGTCGCCGCATCTCGATGCTACCCAGGACCATTGGTTTCCAATTAACTATTTTGGGCGGAAAGTTCTTTCGTTGAACCGAATAGATCACCTTCGACCAGTGAAATTAGTGATACAGGTTATATGCAGTCAACCATCATTTATTGCATCTAACAAAATTTGTCTTCTTCATCGGCCTTGTCCAAGGGTGGAACAGTTGGGAACTGTGCCAAGCTCTTTTGTCCGTTTTCCAGCTACTCATGAGTAATTTGGTTGGTTTACAACCTACACCCATCAGGTGTCTTCCACTCGTCGAGTACCAGTTACCCGCCTAACATACAACGACTTTGTTGAAGTTCGCCGTTTTCGGTTTTTGCGGCTAAACTGCCCTGCATATTCTTGTGCACCGATGTTCAAACACAGTGTAGGTGTCTCTTGCTTCTATGCACAAATTTCCCTGGTGTGAAACTGGGAAACTTTCCCGCCGGCAGTCCCAGCTACGGTCACAATCACAGTTCGTAATTTTGTCAATCTCTGATTCAAACAGATAGTAACCGTATTAAAGCTGTTTCCGTAATTTTCCCCGAAATACATTTTTCTACGAAAAGCTATGTGACTTCTATTGGGAAATTCTGTCGCTGTTTGTCGAAGCTTTGAGTTAACAGCGCGAATCGCTCATGAGCAAACAGTATCTTGCCTGTCCATATACGATTAGTTGAATGTGTTCAGCATATGCTGGAAGAGTGACGATGGATGACACGCGCTCTAACTTGGTTGTGACTAAGGGCATGCAATGCGGGTAGGCGTTTTGGCTTCCTCTTTTGATGCACTAGGATAGTGTCGCGTTTTTGTGAAAGTGCACTTCAAGTAATTTCTTTTACGTGCATTTCATAAGGTACCAATGTCTTATCCTACAGGCAATAAATTTCGGACCCATTGAAGAGGTTTCCGATGAGAAATATACAACTGCTCTCTGAGATTTCATAAAATATCAAATAATTCTTGGAACTGATGAAATCCTAGGGTGCATCAAATTGACGACCTCACAGAGGCTACAATAAGTAGCCGGGAATCAATGTTTAGTTTGGAAAAAACTGCTTATAAGTTTCTAAAATCGTATGGCACTCCGTGCCTTCTATGACTGCTATAAATTGTAAGATCCAGTCCGGAAAGACTATTATAATCTTGTAGGAATTGCAACCTTATCTGTCTCAGTCGGGGAGGCATGCTTCTTTCCCAAGTGAAGGAGCCAGTGGTCACCATTTCCTCACACTGGCATCTTGTCTACCATATTCGTGACTAAAACAAAACTTCGAGGTCAGTATTCCGTAAACATTAGCAATTCCGCAAAATATTATTTGTCTCCTCTTCTACCGATCTCCCCATCATTCCCAGAAACATGCATAGTTTATGAAAAAAGCCTGTGCAAATGTTACAGGCATTTTAGGTCCTCCAGATCTGGGATAAAATTGGTCGGTTTCAGCGAATTCAAGAAGACAGTGGCTAAAGAATAAGATGACCTAAAAGTTTCATTTCGTCAGAAACTTGGTTACCTGATTAAAAAGCAAACTACAGGAAAGGCTCAGGGCTATGTGATGACACCATTTGGGGTTGAGCAATCACTTCCACTTGCTCACCGGATGCAGCTTCATTGTCATGGCAGTTGAGTCTACAACTTTCGTCTGACTGGGAAGTCTGCTGACGCTCAGAGTATCCTTCATCACCCGACCTCACTCTAGAACGATGAAAATAGTGATGAAACCGGCGCATTCATGGTACTGCTCGCAGGGAGAAAGTCAGACTAATTCCTTAATTATGATTCTCATTTGGTGAGACTAACGTCGATGATGACGTCATGGACTATCCTTCCGTTACGTGGACGCAAACTTCACGGATTTTAGTGTCCTCCATGGAAGACAAGCAAAAATAAGAGACTCTTAAGAGTACTTCCACATCTTCCGTGCTTATTGAAAATTCATTCATATTACTGCGGGTTTTCCATCGTCTGAATTGGGCCAGTGAATATACATAGGAAATCCTCGTAGTTGCCGAGTTAGCACACAAAACTTTAAGACCCGGAAAACTTTGTATTTGCGGTGTGTTGAAATTGCTTTTTAAGCAAACAGGTCTTGAGCCTTCATAAACTACCTATAAGTTTGCTGAAAACCACTCGACAGCTGACGACCTGTTTTGCCCTTCTTGAGGCTCAACAGGGAGACGCAGTCCCTGAGTTTCCCTCAAACTTGTGAGGCTCAACACGCAGACGCAGTCCCTGAGTTTTCCTCAAGCTTGTGTTCTACTTGAACCAAAATTGCACTATTTTTGAGAAATACACTGATTTGCAAATCAATTTGGCTTTCACCAGAGACTCAACTGAATCTCTCGTTTATGATATTCTACAATTTGATGTGCTGCACACAGGCCGCCTTATGTTTCAGTTAGCACGATATTCGAGATATCGCAGTATATTTTCATAAAATTGTGCCACCGATCTTCTGAATTACCAGAAATACATAATTTTTAAACGGTAGTTAGCAAAGCAAGCCATTTTTGGTTGGTCTCTGACAGACTTCCCGCTTATCTGCACTAGGATGTTCGGTTGAAGTGTTCATCATGAGGAAAAGCTAATCGTAAAAACTATTTAACGTTTCGTATTCTAGCAACTGGAGAGAAATCTCACCGACTAGCCAGTACAAACGGCCTGCGTGTTATGTAATCATCAACACTCCCTTGAGTTGCTGAAAACGTTCTTCCTCCCTGAGGCACGTAGTCATTTGTACGTATTAGTGAGTTTATTCGCACTATTATTTACAACTCTAAGGTCAAGAATTCCATCGCGTAATTTTTTTGTTGAAGGGAATATGCCAGATTTAGGCATTCAGTTGAGTTAATTCTTTCTTAATCAATATGTGTGGGGTGTTCCTGCCGCATATGTTAGACCTTTGGCGGACTTTCATCGTATAGAAATCTTATTTGGAGTTCTGTAGGAGCCTGTCGTTCGCGTGACTTTCTTAGAGTCTACAGAATGCCAAAGATAATATTCAAGGCTGAAGCACCCTGGCCTTTGTAGTTATGGTAAGCTTTGAGGCATGAATTACTGTTTAAAATTACGTCAACCCCAATTACTTTAAGCCGATTCTTCCCATGTTCCGTCCAACCAATATCATTTATTTTGGCATACCGTGTATCAGGGCAACTTTATTATGTACCACCTCCTTGGCCGTTCTATGATTACGACACCCATACCGTTTTCCTTTATATAAAATATCAGTGACCATGTACATTTGGAGTGCGATTTTCCACCAAAGATTGAAAGGCACGAAAAACCTATTGTGGTTGTGTTTATCGAGAGGGCTGATGGTTCTCGGGAAAACAATTAGAACTAGGGAACGTTCTAAAATGAAAACGCTCAATCGTTTCTGTTCTCGTTTTAAAGAGACTGTGGATGTAAACTGCCAGCTAGTGGAGACTCGGCTTCTTTAGCGGTAAGTCTTTTTCCATTGACGTAAGATCAATAAATCATTTATTCAAAGGGAAATCAGCGCCACTGTTTAACGAGCATTGCATAAATGACCCAATCGCGCTGTCACTGGCGCTCTTGCATCAAAGCTGTCACCTTCAATGCATAGCTACCCAGTTTCCAAACTAACTGAACTTGCCACCGTCTCTAAAGCATGGTTCTGTTTTCCGCACTCATGCACCTATCAAAATTGCAGCCACTGGAACCAATGTGCCTATGGAATGCGGTTTATAGATGGTAAATGAATTGATTGAATTAAGACAAGCCAGACAACATTGAAGTAAGTGCGGATATTTAATTTGGCATGAAAACCTATCAGATCCGAGGTCGGCCGAACATTAGATTGGAGGTATTACCTCGCACAGTTCTCAAATTCAGTGATATAAACGTCAGTAAATTTACAAGTTGCACTATTACAACGGTTTTAACTTTGAGCTATTAATGTTGGTACTGGAAATCTGACATGAGTGCATTTGTTGTGCCTTCCGTTGGTTTGAGACGCCCATGTTAACTTACATGTTTATATGATATATCTGATATAACTACTTTGTTGCAGCCTCAAAGGTTTTGTGTCACCTAATACGGTAAAAATAGTCCCGCCTTCTCGGTTCAAATCCGTCCATCTTGCACCTTTCAGATATCAAATCTAACCCACTCCAAGAAAGAATCTTCCGTTGTCATATGTAGGGGATGCTCCTCAGAGAATATTGACTTACTGCTTCAGATCATTCAATAACATGTCCCTTTCTTTCAGCAACCGGCGAAGTTTACCGATATGGTAGTCTCGTTCAGACTTGTAACACTTGGCTTTTTCCGAAAGTTCCCTTTTTCCAAAACGTTTAGAAAAGTCATTTTTTTACTGATAAGAATTGTGACTTTCTTCTGATTCTTTCCTCAAACGAAGCAGTTCTTCCCTCAACCTCCTGTTCTCTTGGTATATATCTGGTACTTCCAACAGAGCCTCCTGTTGAATTTGTCCTTTATGCAACTTCGTGAACCTCATCGACATATGAACACAAATACAACGCACCATTCTACTTGAAAGGAATTGAGCGTTTCGAAAAAAGAGTTGCTCAAAAGATAATGTCGGATGAACTCATCAACACGTCCGTAAACTTCGGCAGTGTAAATGGCATCAATACCATGCTCTAGTATCTTTGGTTCATTATTAATCTTTAAGTTTAATCTTACGTCAGTCGAATCACCACTTCTACGTCGAAGAGTTTCTGTAATGATGTCCTGAAAATTTGCCTCTTCCTCTAAATAACCCAGGTCATCGGGCTCAGCTGACTCGCACACTAAGTGTTGATTGGATTCATCCAAAATTGTTTCAGCTGTAATGTAGTTAATACTACTGTGAATTTCAGGCGCACCTTTCAGATAATATTTGCACTTATCAAGATCCATTTCGTGCACTCAGTTGAAAACGCCACACTAAATACCATAGCAACAGTCAACGGATCGGTTCATTGACCAAGTGTACAGTTCAATAGGCCTGGAAAATTTGTACACGAGTATAGGGAAGCTAACTAGTAAAATCGGACGGGAACATGTTCGATGATGCCTGCACTTTCCAGTCAATGGCCGAAAGCAAATAATTTAACCGCCCTTATCATTGGCCGGGCACCAAGCACACAATCACCGTGGATTCACGGATTGGTATACAGGGTGGGGCTATTGCCCAAGGTTCCCGGGTCGTTTTGTACTTGTCCGTCGGTGGCTGTCATTCATCTGAAAGGCACAAGTGAAAAAAGGGTGTAGCACTGCTCTTTAAGTTATCAGCGCAAGGCAGTATGCATGCCGGCGCGAGGATTCGCATAAATAAATGTCAAATAGTGCTTTAAACTGGGTTCTAGAAGGAGCGTGAACAACCTTCGGAGGATGGTCATTCCACGCACCTACTACCCGAAATGACGAGAAATTTTGTCTGATGAATGTGTGTGCTCTGAGCTCGAAAATTTTCTTACAATATCCCCTCACAGTAAAAAACCTGTTTGCCAAGCTTTGTTCAAACAGAGCATAAGTAACAATGTGGCGTTCTACACGTTTCTTTTACTTCAATTATAATACTACGTATTTCATCAATTGCATAATAGTTTTTTGTTTGAATACGAAAAACTACAAAAACGTTCACTTGTACAATTTCATAAAATACAAGCGTAGTCACGTGCTTCGACTTTCTCTTCTGATTTCGCTCGCGCTTGCAGCGGTCATTCGCGAGTCTCATGTATTAACTCTGGTACCAAAACATTTCAGACATCTTCGGAATCTATTATGTGTGGGAACTGTTCAGAAGAAGACCTCTGGACCGACATAATTGGATTATTGTTTATTCGCTGACCTGGGCCAACGACGAACTATTTTAAAGAGAACAATTGTTAGTGAGT